TTACCATTCATAAATATAGGAAGATCTAAATTATTACGATAACGATTGGCCGAATAAAATTGAGTTTTATCTGAATTAAAGTTCACCAGCCACTGTGAGCCCCAAGCTGTAGCAGAAGTGAGATCCTTTTCAAGCTCAGATACCCCCTCCAAGCAATCAGAGAGTGTAGGCTTCTTATCATGACAAGAGTAAATGGTAGTGTCGTCAGCGAATAATGCCACCTTAGATGTGAGAATATCTGGAAGATCGTTAATGTAAATTAAAAAGAGTATAGGGCCAAGGATTGAACCTTGAGGAACCCCTGAAGTTACAGGATGTGAAGAAGAGTGTTGTCCATCGAGGACAACTTTTATACTACGATTGGAAAGAAAGGACTCAATAATCTTAAAGACGTTACCAGCTACACCATAAGAAGAAAGCTTATGGAGAAGACCAGCATGCCAAACTTTATCAAAAGCTTTAGAAATGTCAAGTGCGATAGCCTTAACCTCTCCACCTCTATCTAATGCACGGTAAAACCTATCGGTTATTACTGTTAGCACATCAGCTGTAGAACGAGAAGACCGAAATCCATATTGATGATCAGAAAGTAAGTTATTTGATTCAAGATGAGAGATTAAGTGTTTGTTGATTAAAGATTCAAAAACCTTGCTTATGACAGGAAGAAGACTAATGGGACGGTAGTTAGATGAATCAGATCGCTCTCCGGAATTTTGAAAATAGGGATAACAGATGCTGCTTTCCAGCATGATGGAAAACAAGACTCTGATAAGCACTTGTTAAATAGTTTTGAAAGTATGGATGAAAGCTCCGGAGAACACCTCTGCAAGACTACAACAGGAATGTTGTCAGGACCACAAGCTGTTGAAGAGTCTAAGCAGGAAATTACTTTAGATACAGAAGCTGAAGTGATGCGAATGTCAAGCAAGGGATCAACCTGTTTGACGGCTATGTCAGGTAAAACGCAACTAGTGGAATCAAGAGATGATATTGATGAAAAGTTCTTAGCAAACAATTCAGCTTTGTCTTTAGGTGAGGTGACAAAGTCTGAACCATACAAGAGAGAAGGAATAACAGATTTGCCCTTATTATTGATACTGTTAAAGATTCTCCAGAAGTCTCGAGAGCCTAATTTTTGTGATGAGATACGAGATTTAATGACCTGGGAATAGCGAGCTTTGGCGTCAGACAAAACCTTTTTACAATGGTTTCTGGCGATAGTGAACAGATGTCTGTTTTCTGGAGAATTGTTTTGCTGATAGATATGGAAGTAACGGTTTCGATTAGAAATTGCTGCAGCGCAATGTGAGGAAAACCAAGGAGAAGAGTGAGGCTTGACCTGGAATCGTCGAGAGGGAATAAAAGATTCCATGCCAGCCTGAATCCACGAAGTTATGTAAGAAGCACATTTGTCAGCAGGAAGACGAAAGATTTCTACCAAGGGCCATCACGAAGAAAATCACGGAAAGAGTCCCAGTCAGCTTTAAGGTAGTTATATGTGGTACGATGATAGGGGGATTCTGATGAAGTAGAAGAATTTGATAATAGTTTTAGAGAGATCAAACCGTGATCAGAAGTACCTAAGGGTGAATGTGGAGAAATTGAGCACTGACTAGGATCCAAAACAAGACATAAGTCGAGTAGAGAAGGTAAATGATTAGGGTTGTCTGGAAAACGAGTTGGAAAGTTGACTATTTGAGTTAGAGATTGAGAAAGGCAAAAGTTGAGGGCCTTAACGCCAGCAGAGTCACTGACACTAGAGCCAAGCCAATCGGTGTGATGGGCATTAAAGTCACCAACAACGACAATATTGGCCGATGGATAAAGAGAGAGGGCTTGGTCAATTTGATCAGAAATAACATCAAGAATAGTGCAATCTTGGGATGAAGGAGAGCGATATAAAACAAAGAGAAAGGCGATAGAGTGAAGTTGTGCTAAACGAAAGCACATAAATGAATAGTCTGTAGATTCAAACCTAGTTTCACGACAAATGGGTGAGTTCTTACGAATGTAGATGCCCAGGCCAAGCATGTGATTATTGGAGTCTTTACGAATTAAAGGAAGATAACCATCAACACTAAGATCACAAGATGGGACAGCTGAACTCAAATTAGTCTCACAAAGAGCAAGTAGGTCTGGTGAACTTTGCAAGAGATAAGACTCAACAGAAGAAAAGTTACTTCGAAGACCACGAATATTAGTAAATGATAGGTTTAGAGAACTGGTGATGACAATGGTTTTTTGTGTTTTTTAGTTTTAGGTACTTTAGTCATTTTAAATTTATAAAGAACTTGACTCAAGTATAGATAGTACTCAGTACACTATTTAACAACTAAGCAATAGCCTCATTACTATTAATAAACCCTAAGCCGTAACAAAGGGCTCCAAATGTGGCCTCTGCAATGCACACCAAAAGTACAAACAGGGACACCATCCATGCGCAACATGGCACTGTTAGTACTCTGATATTTTCGGCTGTTGATGGAATCAGCCTCTCTGAGAGCTACCACAGAGTTCGGGAAACCTGACTACCAGCCGGCCTCAGAACCATAAAACTGAGTTTTAGAGCTGTACCCTCATTAGGAGATAATAGAGTGAGTTGCCCAGTCATAAAAATAGAGACACAAGCAATACCCACGCATTGAGTCAAGAAGATCCAGCGTTCAACATCCTAAACTGGAAACAATGTATTAAAAATACATCTGCGCCAGCCTAATAGATGAGGAAGGGGTGCGAGGCTGGTCAACAGATAGAATCTGTTTACCCCTTAAGTCTTTGCCTAGGAGGTCTTCTACAAGACAGCAGCTGGATGCATGTAACATCTGCCCAAGATGAGTATTTTTATCGAGACACCATCTCTAGCCTTTACTCAACCAAGAGCCCCAAGGCAGGGGGTGTTTTAAATCGGAGTTAACTTCTCCTAGCCTTTGCCTAAAAAAGCGTATCCTACAAGGCAGCAGGACATGGAGCAGGTTGTACTGGGTTACATGTTACCAGTAGCAGGAAAACCTGACCTGATATATATATATATATATATATATATATAAATATATATATATATATATATATATATATATATATATATATATATATAAATATATATATATATATATATATATACATAAATATATATAAATATATATATATATATATATAATATATATATATATATATATATATATATATATATATATATATATATATATATATATGTATAATATAATATATATATATTTATATATATATATATATATATATATATATATATATATATAATATATATATATATATATATATATATATATATATATATATATATATATATGTATATATATATATATATATATCAATATATATATATATATATATATATATAATATATATATATATATATATATATATATATATATATATATATATATATATATATATATATATATCAATATATATATATCAATATATATATATATATATATATATATATATATATATATATATATATATATATATATATATATATATGTGTATATATATATATATATATATATATATATATATATTGATATATATATAAATATATATATATATATATATATATATTGATATATATATATATATATGTATATATATATATTGATATACATATATATAATATATATATATATATATATATATTATATATATATATATATATATATATATGTTTATGTTATATATATATATATATATATATATATATATATATATATATATATATATATTGATATATATATATATATATATATATATATATATATATATATATATTGATATATATATATATATATATGTATATATATATATATATATAATATATGTATATATATATATATATATATATATATATATATATATATATATATATATATATATATATATATATATATATATATATGTATATATATATATTTATATTATATATATATATATATGTATCAATATATATATATATATATATATATATATATATATATATATATATATATATATAATATTTATATATATTAGGGAATATATGTATATATATATATATATAATATATATACATATATATATATATATATATATATATATATATATATATATATATATATATATATATATATATATATATATATATATAAAGTTTCCAAGGTGACATTAGTTCCCCTAAATAATTAAGTATACAAATTGATATGACTTACGCAATTAATTGCGCAAATAAAATGATCTAAATTTTAAATGCTAAATTCGGTTTAAATCCTAAATTAACTAAATGATTCTACATTAAAAAAAAAAAAAAAGTTTTACGTGAATCAAGCGCATCAATCATAAAAAATTAGTATCAAATAAAGTTTTTTTACGCAGTTTTTCTACTAAAGTCGCAAACAAGTTACTAAAATGACTAAAGTTGCAAACAAATTACTAAAATTATTTGTTTGATTGTTAGCAAAATAGTTATGTGTAAGTTTAGAACGTTTTTGAATGTTTTGAAAAGCTTTTTAGTTTTTAAATTTTTGTGTGGGTTGATTATTAATATGCTATAGAAATCTGTATAATTTTTTTGTTATGATTAGTTGAACAATTTTATAAATTGCAAATCATTTTTATGAAAAAACTTTCATTTTATATTTATTATAATTATTTGCTCAGTAACGAACAAAAATATTTTCAAATGTTGATTATTCAACTAGTTTTATAGAATTACAATATAAAATTTGCAACTCCCTCAAATTGAGGAAGGTTTAAACTTTATATGGTCATAATTTTTTAACGCTAAAATATATATACAATGAAATTTAAAAGCATCCTTATTTGACATAAGTATAAACATATAAATGTTTGGAGTTTGTTCCATGTCTTGAAATTAGCTTCTCAAAGACCAAACAATGCTAGCGCTGGCCCTGTCTGTAACCTGCTTTTCTGAATATTCTTTTAAGTCTAGGAGATATCCATAATAAAGAGGTTGTAGTAAGGTTATTAAAGTTTGATAGAATTTAGTTTTTATGTGCTAAACGTTTTTGTTTTTTTTTCGAACCTGATAAGAAATATCTTTAAGCATTTTTTCATTGTACCCATTTTCAGTTAATACTTGAATTAAAAAAATCTCATCTTTAAATGATTTTCGCTGCATACTGAGTATGCTCTGTGTATGTATCCGTTAAATATTGCGTTTAAAATTTTGGGATTGTGATTAAAATGAGGATATATCTAAATCCTCATTTTAATCACAATCCCAAAAATTTTAAAAGTTTAGCTGAGTTTTTGTAAGGAACGCTTTTATTTAATTGATCCAAAAGTATTAAAATTGCTTCTTTTAATGTTATTGATGGGTATATAAGTTCACAATATCAAAGAATACCTGTATTTCATCTTTGTCATTTAATCACGACTTAGTTTTGTTAATAAAGAATTCGTGAGAATAGAACATGATAAAGCAATTGAAAAATTTAGAGAACAGATTGCCTCAACAAAAATTATTAGTATTTTTTGCAGTATATGTCATTCTTTTTTTTTTGGATTGCAACCACAAACTGAGTACCATTGCTATGGTTTTGTTGCTGTGGATAGTGCTGTGGCAACTTTACCATCCACCATTAATTTCAATTTTGTGCAGAACTATTAATTTGTCATACTTTGTAGTAAATAATTTTTCTATTGAGTTGTAAAGGAATTGTTCTTCTTTTAATACATCTGATGTTTCTTTTTTTAGGAGAATCTTATTGGTGTGCAAAATAAAGTGGATGATGGATGAGGGTTGGACCAAATAATCTTTTTTTCGCCATTACAATATCCAGATAACTGCAAAGGCACAAAGCAAGTTAGGAATAAGCTGGCTTCATTTGTAATATTTCTGTTTTCTTCTGTTGTTATTTGAGTATAAAGGCTTTGGTCAGTTGATCCATCAAAGCTAACTTTAGACTTTTTTGTCATTCGTTAAAGATCTTCTAAGGAATTTATAACTTCTGTCAGACAATCTATTAAACGTATTGCTGTATGATTGACCAATGCTTGCATATTGATCTCTGCAGAATAGTCAGTGACAGTCCATAAGTTATTCTCTGGAAGACAAAGTACTTTTGCTTCCCGTACATTATTATTAGCTGGATGTATATTACAGCCTTTTCTTACAGCATTATTCCTTAGGCGCTGATAATCAGACATGCTCAGATTATTATCTAAGATGAGTGCTAAGGCTTCATTGGGAGTATTTTGAACATGTTCATCAGTTTAAGTTTTTGATAAATTTGTAACTACCTTAGCATGCTTTCTCTTTCCTTGTTTGCAAAGTTTGGAACTGCTAGCAAACAACAGCTCATTTGAAGAACTTGCCAATGAGTCAAGTTTTAACACTTTCCTCTTTTTAGATTTATCAGATGATTCTTCAAATAATTTACAAGGCCAATTACAATATAGAAACTACACCTAATTTACAATAAATTAGGTGTAGTTTCTATATTGCATAAAGAAAAGGTTTGTTGGGGACTAATAAAGTCTTTGCAAAGCCAGGCTAAATTTTTATCCAAAAGTATATTATTGTAACGTCCACTTGCAGCCCATCGCTTTCTGTATTCAAAAGTAAATTTTGAAAATTGAATCTTACATTTAGTTTTGCCAAGTTGTTCAGCAATAAAGTTAAAAAATACCAGCTTATCTTTTTCATTTGATAATGATAATTTGTTTTCTCTTATAAATAAATGGATTTCATTTCTGCTTGACATAACAACAATAGTCTAAAGTTAAAAATAAAACTATTTATCAATAGGTTTTCATATATTTTATGTAGAAATATTTTCTTTTAATTATTATAATATTAACTATAGTTAAATAGTCTTATTTTTGGAACAAAATATTCATTATATAATAACATATTGTATTATTTTGTTTGCGATGTTATATTTTAAATACAATATTTTTGCAAACCATTGGAAATAAAAATTAATTTAGCAAATAATTGCAGCTAAATTAAATATATTTTTATAAAATGTATATAAAAGCTTCAAAATATGTATATAATATAACAGGATACTACAAAATCTTCTACTTTTTGTGTTTTTTAAACCAAAAAATACACCTAAAATTTTCTTTTAATGAAGTGTTTAAAATTATTATAATTTATTTATTTTCTTACCTATTCTAATCTAACAACTCTTAAAATGCAGAAAATAGATAGTACAACCGTAAAATAATTTTCAATGCGCAATATTTAATACAGTGTTGCATTATTACCATAGATTTTGTAAACAACATTTTTTGCTTTATAATATCTTTTTTCTAGTTTACGTTTGCATATATTTTAACCGCATAGTTAGCCTATTCATTAAAATTTTATGTTTATATAAAAGGTTTTAAATAGCGTAGGGTTGCGTGTCTATAAATAGATTTTAAAATTTAACGCGCAATGGATTTTGGGATTGAATGCGGACAAACAAACAGACGAAGGCAAAGAAATATGAAGGATTACTGCTGACTGGAGCAACCAAACATTGTTGCTGGGGAGTTTGGCATTCTGATAGTCGTTATCCAGATAAATTACCAGCAGAAACATTTTTTTAAGGTTTCCAAAACCTGGTAAAATTAAGGAATGGATGCCAGATTCGGAAAAAGAAAAACAAAACATTAAAACAGAATTATGTAAAAAATGGATTCATGCTTCTGGTAGAAAATCTTTTAATATTAACAATATAAAGAAAGATACGTGTATTTGTTCGTTACATTTTTTGAAAGCAAAGGTCCTACTAAAAAACATCCTAATCCATTGAAAGCAAACCTTACAGAACAGCAGATTTACTCTAGTAACAAATAAAAAAGAAAAAACCCAACCATTCGTGATGTTGTTATTAAGTCTAAGCAAAAGGCAGAGACATCGGACCTTGTTGATTTTCAAATAGAAAGTGTTTCTCAATCTTATTGCGGACTTTATGCAAAAAATGATTTCACTGAAGGCAGTGATATCCTAGTTAAAATCAGTAGGAAATTAAATGATCATTGTAATTCTTTAGTTTTAAATGAATCAAATAATATTATTGTTAAAACTTGTGATCAGTCTACGCAAACCATTTATGATAAACATCTACTTGCATCAGAAATTGAAATAGTTATTTTAAAAAGAAGTCTAGACAATTCTATTCGATTTCCCTCAACATCTTATTCAAGTTCTTCCAGTATATCAAGTGTACCATATAATAATTTCATGCCAATGGAGTATATTTTATCTTCTGAAGTTAAATGTAAATATTTTATTGGTTTAACATCGGCTCAATTTTCTAGCTTATATGATTTTCTTGGACCTGCAAAATTCAATCTCTTCTACTGGAATAGTTCAAGAAAAGTTAAAAACTCAACAGATTCATCTAAGCTATCACTAAAAGAACAGTTGTTTGTTACATTATTAAGACTTCGTCGAGGGTTTAATATATTTACTCTTGCTCATATGTATAATGTGAGTTTGTTTTATATACGTTCTATATTTACAACTTGGATAATGTATATATTTCATCATTTTAAATGTTTTAAATATAAAATGTTTCCAGAACGTGAAGTTTTCAAAAGAACATTACCTAAAGAATTTCGAACATTCAAAAAAATCCGTGCTACTATTGACTGTACAGAGTTTAGATGTGAGGTTCCAAGAAATTATGCTCAACAAGGAAACACATATTCATCATACAAGCATCATTGCACTATGAAATGTCTTATTGCTGTGAATCCTAATGGTGCAGCTTGTTTTGTATCAGACTTGTGTGAGGGAAGCATCACAGATGTTGATATATTTAACAAATGTGGTATTATGAAACATATTAATCCGGAAGACATATTTCTTGTAGATAAAGGGTTTAAAATTCAACATTTACTTTTAGAAAAAGAAGCTACTTTATTTATTCCAACTTTTTTGGGTAAAGGAGAAAAATTTACTGCAGAAGAAATAATGCTGACAAAAAAAATTGCGAAAGCCAGGATCCATATAGAAAGATTTAACGAGCGTTTAAAAAAGTTTAGAATGATTGATTGTGTTATACCTCAATCGTTAACACCAATAGCTCCTCAACTTGTTTTTGTTGCTTCATGCCTGGTTAACTTTCAAGATTGTTTGTGTGTTTAATAATTATATGTTATAGTTAAGATGTTACTTATTCTTCTTTTTGAGTTATTATTTAAAATTATTTTGATTTAAATTTGCAAAAAACTTTTTGCATATTACCCGAATTAATTTCTTCAATATTGTTAAACAATCTATATTGAACAAACACAGTTTTCTAATTTTAGGGTTATTACACGTTTTTTTATCAAAGATTAAATAGCTGTATTAGGCAACTATAAAATCATTTCAAATAAATTGAAAAAATCGGGGTTTCAATGTTCTACTGTGGAAATTCCTTTGTTTAATTACAGAGTAAATTTAGCTTCATAGTTCAATGAACCCTTTCGATCATACCTGTGTATGGACCCTTTCGATCATACCTGCGCACTCTAGTCTGCCAAATAATCGAGAGGGGATGCTCATAATTTTTCCCAATCTCCGTCCTTCCACAGCTTCCACTTCCGGAGATTATAAGGATCCCCGTCTATCAATTTTGAGGTAAATTTTATATAGTTTTGCACCCTATAACATTCATAGACCGTACGTATTTATGCACCTTATAAATTTATAGACCGTACTTTATGGAAGTGACGTTACAACATGATGTAATATTTTAAGAGTTAAATAAGTACATTAAGTAACAATTTAAGTTTTAAGTATAGAGTAATACTTAAAACGTAAATTGTTACTTAATGTACAACTAAAGTTTTAAGTATTACTCTATAAGGGAGGGGGTTCCAAAATCAGTGGTTTTATGCTACTTTATGGATGCTCCTTTACGTACTTTATGGATGTCCCCTAAAGTATTAAATGGATACTAGTTCATATCAAAATCAAACATTCTAATGGAATTCTACGAAAAATTAAACACCAAATCAAATCTTTTAAAAGCAAATATTTATTATCTGTGTTTCATGGTAATGCTTATCTTAATTATTAACAGCCGAATGAATATTATTATTATTAGTGCGCATAGTTACGCATTGTTACGCCTATTGTTCGTTTTGTTAATTACGGTTCTGCATTATGTAAAATACACTATTTCTTAGTTTTTAAGTTGTTTCTAGACTTTTCTAAGCGCAGTTTTATATTCCACGCGGTAAAATCAGCAAGCAAATTGGAGCTGATACGCTTACTTTCAAGAAGAATTAATGTTGTTTATTTTTTAAATAAAAATTTAAATAATTGTTAGTTTGTTATGTATGTATATATATATATATATATATATATATATATATATATATATATATATATATATATATATATATATATATATATATATATATATATATATATATATATATATATATATATATATATATATATATATATATATATATATATATATATTTATATTTATATGTATTTTCTCTTAGCAAAAATAGTTGAGAATAGAAAAACAAAAAAAATTTCTTCTGAAATTTGTCAAAAGAGTGTTGTGTTATGCTTATTTTTAAGGTATCTAAATATGTATATATTTTTCATTTTTTAGAATAAGTTAGAACTAAATTGACTGGAAAATTAGTTTTTTTCTATATCTATATATATATTTACTCTAAGGATAAATAATAGGGAATAGAAAGTTGAGAAAATTTCTTCGGCAATTTGTCAAAAGACAAATTGCAGAAGAAACTTTCTATGCTTCATTTTAAGGTATGTAAATATGTATTTATTAGAAATTTTTAATTTTGTTCTTAAATTTTTTCTTCTTTTTCATTGCTTTAGATTAATATATACTGACTGATATAACTTCATTTTTATTAACAATGTTGTGCATTATATCTGCAGTCTTTGTTACATTAAAAATAATTGATGCTAATGAATGTTGTTTTATAGTTGTTAAAAGATTGCATATAAGTTTGCATGTATATTATGATCAAAGTTTAAAATTTTTTAATAAACACGTGTATGTGGTGATATATGTTATATAGTTGTTTTATAAATGTGTTTATATAAATGTGTTCTTATAATAGTATGAAATGTATTATATCTAATTTGTGCAAGATTGTTAAATGGGGTGTTTTTATATGCTAAGTAACATTAAAAAAATATATTGTGTTTTATAATAAGTATATATGTTTATATAATGTTGTTTCCATGATTTCAAAGTAGAGTTACTTGGCAAACGTGTAGAGTAAGGTTTATCAACCTTACCAGTCAAGCGATGTTACTGCTTTAGTAAGTAAGTTTAATGTTTTGTTTTATTTTTTATTAGATATATATTTTATGTATTTAACATGGAAAATTGACTGTAATTTTTGACAGGTAAGTTTATATACATAAATGTGCTTATATATCAGAATATTTTATATTTCTTTGAATCTATATAAATATTATCTCATAGAAAAAACTAAAAAGAATAGAAAAAATTAGAATATATATACATACATATATATATATATATATATATATATATATATATATATATATATATATATATATATATATATATATATATATATATATATATATATATATATATATATATATTACTTTAGACTAACATTGCTTCATTTTTTTATAAGATTCTGCATTTATTATTTTTGTGCATTAAAATTGTGTTGAAGGTTAAAATAATTTTGCATTGTATTCTAAATTCTTTGCTAAATCAAAATAATGTCAAAAATTTTGTTTTATATTTTTCAGTTGTAAAAATATAAAACTTTCATTCAATTGTAACAGTAGTATAATCACTGTTAATATATTTAATGATAACAGATGTATAATATTAGGCTCGATGAAGTTATTAGTGTTATTGGTTATAGGCGACTTGAAATTGTTGTCATATAAAAGAAATAGATCTAGGCTTGATAAAATTAATTGTCGTTGAAATATAAGAATTTTGCTTGGTGAACAGAAAACGTTTTTGCTAGAATTCAGTTTCAAGCGGTGTTGATGTCTATTATTTGGTTTTACATTAGACACTTTAAAATATGAATTTTAAAGTATAAATTTTACTATTTTTAATATTTTAATTTTAAAGTATGAATTTTACTATTTATTATAACAAGTAATAACAGTTTCAATTTTTAATGATTTTTTTTTTTTTATTTGTAATCTTAAACATAATTGTGTTTATTTTTTTTTAGTTGTCTTTGTCATCACTTGATTATTTTGCTTACTGTTGAAACATGGTTTTAATTTTGTAAATTTAATATGATATGTAATTTACAATATTATTCATTTGTCAACAGTTAAAGAGAAGCTGGAACTTAATTAAGAAATGCTGGAAATTAACTTTTAGTTAAGGTAAAAATAATTTTGTTTATTGGTAGCATAATAAAACCAGTTACTGTTATTTATTGACTTTTTTACTTTTTCTAACGTGCTGTTTTTGAAACATTTCCTCTCTCTCTCTTAGATGAGACTTAAATAAGAATTAGTATAGAGAGAGAATAGATTAAACTCATGTAATTACTGAGCTCTTGCGTATTTTTTAATACTGCGATTGATAATTTGCTATTTAAAGATATAATTCTTTAAATTGTCCCTTGGTTGTTATTGGTTATTGTAATAAATAAAATCTTTTTAGTTTCAAGTATTTTCTTTTAGGGATAGTCTATATATTACGTAACGCGAAATTAATCCTGTATAATATAATTTATTCTTTTTAACTTTATTTTAATCTCAATGATTCGTGTTATAAAAATTATTACAAGGATTCCGTTGATACTTTCGTCAATTTAAAGCATGACGAAGTGTTATTATTTTGTGTCAGTAACTAAAAACGTATTGTGTTAAACTTAGGAAGGTCGATGAAAATGGTTCTGCCTTACACTGTTACGACCTATGCCATTTGTAAATTACTCAAATAATGTTGTAATAAAAGAATAGTTTAAAACAGCTTTTGGTTCTTCTTCTATGCCATATTTCATATCCATTGTTATATTATTTTCGGAAAACCAAAATCTTTTTTTAATAAAAGTGAATAAAGAAATCTTCGAACAAGAAACTAATGATTCTCCTAAATTAATACATTTTTTGGATACAGATGCTGTTATACGACACCATCTTGCTTGATGCCAAGTTAAAAATTTGGCTTGATCAACTGTATCTGGAATTTCACCAAAAATTATATTTTTTCCAAGAAATTTTTCATTATTTAATAACAAAGATTCTTCAAAATTTTGAACAAGTTCTCTATAATAAATAGTATCTTCATTAGATAAGTGGAAATCATCATATTTAATCTGTAAGAGCGTTTCCCACATGGATTGATTTTGACTGTTTTGCGATGAGATTAATTGAAGATCAGTAACAAAATGTGTAACAGATTCACAGTTTAGGTCTTGATATTCAAGTGGTCGAGGGTCCCAATTATACATTTTATCTGGTTTCCAACGTTTATTTGTAGAATAAACAGTTTGATGAAGAGCAGTTGGATTTTTTATTCGTTTTTTACCTTTATTCCACTGACAGGGTTCTGAAGTACATACATTCTTAACAATAAATCCATGTTCAGTGACATAATCACTTAAATACAAAAGAAGTGCAGTAACATGACAGCATCTGCTAATTTTGCTAGCTTTGCAATTGCATGAAGTATATTTAATATATCAGATTTTATTATTTGATTTGATGAGCTGAAAAGTTGGATGTGCCCTTGCTTCTGGAAAAGGTTATTTTAAGAGAACTAATAGACTTGTGGGGCAAAGCTAGGTTCGACAACAATTTCAAACTCACAGAACAGCAAATCCGAAACAGATTTACCAACAAGATCAATGAGTACCTATCACTAAAAAAACTCAAGACTCTGAGTCTATCAGAAGGAAACTACTGCAAGAAAGTAAACAACTTTCTAAATAAAAGCAACTTTTTATTCCTAATTCATAAGGCCATCATCTTTAGCTTGATAAAGAGTGATCCATTGAGGAACAAAAAGGCAAATAGAGGACATTGAATTTCTAAAACACTGTCTCAAAGAACGCATGGTCAAGATGGCGAGTTTTGATAACACATTTCATAAAAAATGCTTGTTTGGCTGTGATAAAAATAAGAATCGTGGAAAAAAAATGCGCTCA